TTTACTCAATTTGTTTTTTTTCTGTTTATCCAGTCGTCGTTGCTTATACCGAGGGATTAGGGCTTCAGCCCAATCGCGCGCGAAAAGAAGGGGCGTGGTCCCGTGAGCGCACCAGGTTGAAATTCGCATTATCGTCAAAGGATTAACACTTCACAACCTAACCGTTTTGTGTTGCACTTATTTTTGCTTTTTTTGTCTTTTTTTGCTGCTGTATTCAATGCTTACAGTGGGGTGTTACTTATGTACTGCTGTAAATACTATAGCGCCGTGTTTACTACCTTTATAGTATTCGAAAATCATAAAGCATAATAATGCATTGCGCCTCCTCGTTGTTATGCAGAAGATCGACGGGAATTGAAGGCAGAGTAGTATGGAGGCCGCACGCTCAGCAATCGTAGAATTCACTATCTTCGCGATCCAGTACTTCATCCTGTCCTTGTCCGATTGACCGTCCGTTCCGGATGGACACATTTCTTGCAGAAGAGGCGGCGTCTTCGGGTGTAGCGTCTGAGACAGCGGAAATCCTAAAGTGGCAAGAAATTATTATATTTCGCTGCTATCCAAATGTTCTAATTCCTTGTCACCTTAGCATTTCGACTGTCTTGCCACTTCCAGTAGCTGATTGGATGGCCAAGATCGGGTGCCGCTCCTCATCCATTGTTAAGCCCGCGCTTAGTCGTCAACAAGTTGGATTTGCTGCAAGCCCAGAGACGCTGAAATATTTTAAGGACATTGCACATTCACCAACGCCTCCCGGCGTGAATTGACTCTTGAATGGAACAAGTCGGAGTTGGAAGTGACTGGATGGAGGAATGAATTTCCACTCGAACACGGAATCGGCTCCCACCTTATTGCGAGTCCGACGAATACAGGCATAACTTTTGGATGTGTTTCTTTCCATGTCTACGTGCCTAAATTCCGATAAGGCATCACGTAGAAGAGGATGTGACCGTGGGTCGCCGCAAAGGCTAGCTTGAATCTCCAAGGCATAGAAGTTGAAGCGGACGTCCGCAAACCGTGTATGAGACATCGCTGAAGAGCTGACAGTCGAAAGATCGTCAGACCTAGAACGCGTGCACCCTCCTTCTATTTCTGTTATGGACCTCCATATGCATCGAAATGCGTTTATGCTTGGTGCGAATGTGTTGAGTGATCGGGATGCGTTTGTAGTCAATAAGACAACCCTAATTCGCCAGTGCCGCACTGACTACCGCGAATATTTGACCCATGCGCTCACGAGCCTCTGAAGGACCTCAGCTGTAGTTGTGGAATTCCGTTAAGTCCGTTGCTGAGGATACATTTGTCTATGCAGCTGCGAGGAGAAGATCTTCGCGATTCATTCGGGCGGGGATGAACAGATTGACTGGATAAGTGGTAAAGAATTGAAACAGCCCTCAAAGGCCGCATAAATGTTGTTAATGAAATGACTGCGACTATCACCCGAAGTACGACTTCCAAAATTTTCCATCGTGCAGGGGTTGGGGTTGACAGAATAAATTCACGAAGGCGACAAAAGACGATAGCAAGACTGCGAGCAGTAGGCATGGAAAGACAATAATGATAGGGGTGACCGCGCAGGTATATTGTGTGGACTATGGAGAATGTGGGGAGGAGATTGAGGGATCTGAAAAAGGTGGTGTCAAAAAGAAATAAAAAACCGCGATAAATCATTCTATATAAAATTCCCAAAAGAGCGTCGAAGGAATGTTAACATTTCCGCTTTCACGACGTTTATGTCGTCTAGCGGAGATAACGACGTTTTCGAAAGCACACACCGCAGGAAGTAATAAAGAACATCGAGAAAGTAGTGAAGGAGAGATATCCAGCCTTGCTTCAAACTTTTTTACATTGCTTTATCGCTCTTGTTGTTTAGACTTCCCGTCCCATCCTTACTGATTCCCAAGGTTGTATTCTTTTTTGGGTCATTAATGGTGATTTCCTTGTGTTCTTCCGGTTTGCGTTGACATCGAACACGACAATCAGCAAGAGCTGAGCTTTGAAAAGCGAACAACACTGCAAGACACTCCAGGGCTCCTTGCCAAATGTTCTCAAAGTTCACCTACAAAGCACATGTTCTCAGCACGCTAACGTATTGCCGATGTCGGGGTTGGGCAAGTTCAAGTCTATATGAAAGGCTTAGAAGGACCGCGAAGGAGGTTGTTTCTCTTTCTAAAGATGGTGCTTTTAGAGCGTCAAGCTTTCGCGTACGGTCGTGCTCTCCGATCTCCATTCCTTGTAAGGGATGCGACGAGCGAACTAACAATAAGTATGAGTTGTGGCGTCAATAGCAGGAAAGAGCAAACGAATTTATTGGAGACGTGAATTAAGTCAGTAGAAATAGCAAGCTGTTGGTAAGCGGAAATCCCAGAAAACCCGTGAACAAGGGTAGAGCACCTTAACAGTTTAAAGCAGTGCGCTAGAAAAAAGTGAGGTTGTAGAGAAACCTGTCGATTCTTTTCTTGACATCTTTTCTTTTCGAGCCACACTAAAACTCCTTTGGCACGGGAGTAGGCAATTTCTACTTCAGAAGAACGAGGAGCTTCCGTCGAACTGCCGCGAGTTGTGACAGGCGCTTCCGTCGCAAACCTTCAACTTTATCTTGGAGCTCGAGGTCGTTGATCTGCGGTCGCCAGTTGTCTGCACAAAGTGAATAAATGTCTAGAAAGTGTTTGAGCCAATGGTGGATCAAACATACTATCATAGGGACCATGTGAGTGTCTCAATACCATCACATCACATCATCAATCACTGTGTCGAGAATCTCCGTCAATGAGGCATGGCTCTGCTGTGGAATCGAACTGCATCGTTTTTCTTGCTTTTGAATTTTGCTCTTCGAAGAGCCGATGCTTCTTAAAGTCTCCTACTGGACACCATCAGTAGTGTTTACACTCTTTTATGTGATATCTGCAATCCAAATAAACGCCTCATGACCTGCCAGATATGCTAAACTGCGCTTATACTTTCATGGGTCCTTTTAAAACTTATCGTTCTCAATCAGCATCTGTCATCGACCTTCTGCTACTCAGTCATATGTCGAACCGCCTTCAATAGAGGTAAGTCCCAAAATTAACGCGAAAGGGTGCGGTTGATTCAGTGGCACCTAGCTTATAAAGTTCCTTAACAATACTATCAGATGTTATCACTTCCTTTCACCATCACTTACTTCTACTGTCTGCATTCCTTATTGAAAGGAACGTTCCTGGTCACGTGGATCAATATTATGAAATTCATGTCCAACACACGGATACTCAGACAAGCACACACACCTACACCCTCAACCTATCAAGCAAAATATTTGAAATACTAGAATATTTGCAATGTTAACAAAACCGTGGCACGATTCCTTTAAATTGATTGATCCATAAATGAAGGAATCTTATACTTCACTATTAGCTCAAATTGGCAATTACGGCATTTTCATGGTCTGGGGGAGAAGATGCTGAAACCCCACGGGCTTACGTATTATAGCTGCCACTTTTCGCTTGAAATAATATACAACCTCCTATTTTCTTCAAGGTATTCCTAGTAATGAGCTATTAAGAATCACTTATTTTACACCTCAATTCCATTCCTCATATTTCTCTTTTAAAAGCCGAGTCTGACCCTCATTCAGGTGGTTTCGAATCTGAGAAGTCGAGGATATCATTCTTGAGGAATTCTCATATTGATAGAGTCTTGCACTCGGGACTGTGCTCGGAACCTGAGGTTGAACTCAGACCAGAAAAAAATGTAGGTGAAGGCACACTTTATGAAAATTCTGATATGCCGTCTGGTTTAAGTAGAATAATGGAAGCTATGAAAAAATATTTTGCTAAGGGGCCTATGGCGAATGGATAAAAGGGGAAATTTGGGTAAAAGTGTTTTATCCCCCGACTTTCATTAAGAAGGTAAGGTTCACCTTCCCGAAGAAGGTATACCAGTATAAAACTGCCTCAACCAATTAAGGCGTCACCGTCTGTAACCATCTGTGTACTGTTCGATGCGTCGACATGTAGTGCACTCAAGTAAGACATACTCATACATCCTTACACCGACGTTGAGGAATAGAACCAGCAAGCTTTGGGTAAACAGAAAACCAACTAGAGGCAATACTTCCTGGAACATTGCAACCTGTTCTTTCAAAGTTGAATTTAAGAATGAGTATGGTACATGCTTTATATTACTGAAGGAAAATTCAGCATTAGATATGGCATAGAAAGCAGCGTGATCCTCTATGTCATTTCAAAAGGCTATGATACTAATTATGAAGAAGAAAATTGCGGAGAAAAATCACAAACTTTCAGGACAATCATCATGAGGATGCGCGCTTCACTTCAAGTTCTCTAAATAGATTCTTCGTTTTACAAACTTTGGACAGGGCGATTACAAAACGTTGAATAGCACAAATGAGAATCAGCTTTATCTTATTCAGGAAAGGAGTTATAAGAAGTATGGATCTACCCGACACTCTGGCAACTCAGCTTCAAATCTAGCAAAAAGCACTGAAATGAGATTGAAATGTAAAATCTGATTTCAAACGGGGTGAAAAAATCAAATGAAGGAATGTGACGTTAGTGCCTCCACGGAATGAAATTAGGTGCGAAACGCAGGCGACAGACCTGCAATCACTCTTACCAGCATTATGTTCACAGGATAATGAAATTGTATTAAAACAGACACATTTTGGATTATTTCAACATCATTTAAGAATATCTCCAATATCACGCTGACTGTTATGGGCGTCAGCAGTGAGGCTTGCGACGAGACCAGTGAGTTCAGAAACCTTCAGTTCCGATTCACGAAGATCGTCAGAAAGGGTCCGAATTTTGCGCTTTAACGGTTCCTGAAGTAGTGATCATTCTTACTTCATAAAGTTTCGACAAATAGTCTACAGTGCTAGAATGATATAATGTCAACAGTGAAAGCAGCTTGAATAACTCATATTCATAATTTCTGTACTAACTGGTTTTTAGTTGTTTCTGTCATGAACTGTATTTTTCTCTTCGTCATCAACTATACTATATTTAATCATCTGAGTTCGCTATCAAAGTATTTGTAACTATCATGGCCTCTCTCCAAGCACCTATGAATTAGTCGCAGCCCGTATAACATGACGCTTGGGCGGTGCTGGATTCACGATTGGTGGAAATGATCCGAGGACTCTTTAACTCCGATTCTCATTATTAGCTTTCATCAAGTGTTGCCAGTTTGTGCCGTCCACCTCCTGCAATGTTACATGAGGTTGTTTGCCAGCGCAGTCCATTTGGAAAGTGTAACGACTACAGTGTAGCTGCTGAGGAAGGGCCATTCCCAACACGATAAAAGTTACCATAACGAATGTATGTATGTATGTATGTATGTATGTATGTATGTATATATTTGTAACTATCATGGCCTCTCTCCAAGCACCTATGAATTAGTCGCAGCCCGTATAACATGACGCTTGGGCGGTGCTGGATTCACGATTGGTGGAAATGATCCGAGGACTCTTTAACTCCGATTCTCATTATTAGCTTTCATCAAGTGTTGCCAGTTTGTGCCGTCCACCTCCTGCAATGTTACATGAGGTTGTTTGCCAGCGCAGTCCATTTGGAAAGTGTAACGACTACAGTGTAGCTGCTGAGGAAGGGCCATTCCCAACACGATAAAAGTTACCATAACGAATGTATGTATGTATGTATGTATGTATGTATGTATGTATGTATGTATGTATGTATGTATGCATGCATGTATGTATGTGGCAACTTCCGCGAAGTCACGAAATTAGCAATGACCAGTATAAATTCATAACCGCCACACATAAATATTGACATCATGCAAATTAGAAACATGTTGTTGAATATGAGATACAATCCCCATTTTTTCGATCCCATGACTCTCTCTGGCCATCCAGACTGCAACAGTAGCTAGCTTGGTGTACCTCGACTTAGACAATTGCGGTATCGAAGTTTCCTCAACTCTGTTACATCGCGTCCCGACTTATGTGTTGCCTGCCCCTGGCTCGAAAGACTGCTAACCATTCTAACGACCCACTCAACAATATTTTTTGAAAAATTTTATTCATTGCCTTATACTTGTAATGAGTCTATTTTGTTTTCGTGGATGCTTGTTGTATCACGAGATCCCACCCGCAACAAAGTTTTCTTCTAATGGTGCGCACCAGGGAGCCTCGCAGTTTCCTAACAGGATTGCGTGCGTGATGTTGCGTAAGGTCCTTGTATAATAAAAACAAATTCTCAGAAAGTAATGTGGTTTCGTAAAAGCAAGCCACATAAAAAAAGAATACTTAAAAAGCATGACAAAGAAAGTGTGCCACTGACTTCTGCCTAGAATCGCAAAGTCGGCGGCGTCAACGTTCTAGGTCTGACCTGCACTTTCAATTCCGCCATCTCTAGAGCTCGCTTTAATTCGTCTCTCGAGCGTTGCATTTCAGAAGCCCTAAAACGTTTAATATAAAAGGGCACGATTTAAAACAGTCCAAGCACAGTTCCACAGTATTCTACAGATATTGATCAGAATTACAACAATTATAGCAATATTCTATCCAGGCAGTATCGTCATACCTTGATAATTGGAAGCAGAGTTGATCAGCCTAGGTGGCTCTGCCGGAAATTGGGAGAATCATACTAGTGTTGATTTGGGTCAGAGGGATTTAAAAGGAAGATGGAGCTGGTACCCTTCCACTTCTTTCGGCGTATAAGTACGAACGGGATATTCTGGACAAAATATTGTGTTACTAGGCGGGCAACTATTGCGAGAAAACGGAGAGTGAAAGGAATTTCAACGAACGGTCGGTTCCTGAAATGCGCGAAGGAGATTCAGTACTTTCAGAAAGTATTCTGATTCGCGAGAAGTTATTGGGAGGATTTTTTATTGAAAAATCATTCGTAATCAAGCAGCACTGCACACATAAAAATGCTTATGTACAAGTTTAACCTATCGATGAAATGTTATGAAGTCGGTCAATAATAAAAAATCAAAATACTTAATCAGACAAGTGGTAACAGAAGCACAGGGATTCTGAAGGCATCATTTCTTTCACTATGTACCCCTCAGTTAACAGAAGAAAAAATTTAAGCCTGCATAGTCCAGCACGCACATGACAATACGTAGGCACCTAAACTCCTGTAGCCCGCACCCGATCAGCGAAAGGATGAATTGCTTATTATTGTTAACAGTAACTACACTGCTTCATCAGCAATTATTTCATTTCAACGCCTTGTTTGTTCGACGTGAGAGCATGTTCAATGATTTGGTATAGATTTCGTGTTAGAAGAGGGATCAGCATTTCTCAGTCGATTGAAGATTGAAAACTCCGATCTACAACCGTATTTGGGATGCCATTCGGCTCATCTTATTCGGAGCACAATGATGATAGTCGTTGCTCATTTTGGAGCTTTCCCATTCATGGTGACAGCCCTGAACCGCTGAACCCTACTGTGTACTATGCGCAGCTTAGAAATATTTATTGTCTCTGTAAACCACGAATCAAACAACTGCACACAGACAGAAGCGGACTCAAGCTTTGGCACAGGGATTGGACATATATAGATATGCAAAGCAAAAGAATATCGTCGTACAAGGCCTAATAATTATCACTATAGTAGCAGTACGATCACTGACACAGGCTAAGAACTACAGTACACTTATCTGTTCACAGTCTTTATAAAAGCTGTACTGAGAATGCAACTGCATTAGAGGGACATTCAAACACCTTCCATAAGCTCAACCTATTCTGTGCTGATCAGTTCAAAAGTTAGAAAGCTTCCGGCGTTAATCAATCCCGTCTGAGGGGTGCGCCTCCGCACTCGACTTTAATGGCGTAATGAGTGTGTATGTGGCCTATAGAATGACTTGCGGTGGCCAGCCAATGTACGAGTCAGTGCTTTTATCTTCCAAGACAAGTCTGGTAACAATTAACCGACCCCGGAAGGATGGAAGGCTTGGTTGGCCTGTCGGGTATCAATCTGGGATTCGAACCCCTGACCGTACGTGTGATATAGTGCGCCACTTGCCACTATACCACCTCCGCCTAAGAAAAAAAAACAATCAGGGTCTAATCGCAGCATAGCAGTTAAACCTCGGAAAACAATTGCTAAAAAGTGATAATAAAAACTGCTCTGGAAGGAAGGGAACCAGAAAACACACTTCGTTGCTATCCAAAAAGACTGTTTTTTCCCAAACCGTCTATAGGGAAAAGTTCCCTGAGCAGAATGACTAAGGCTGTAAAGATACTCCTGGTAACTCGAAAAAACTCGAAAAAANAAAAAATTAGTTCCTCAGAGCAAGCAATCAGACTTGAGTAGACAGTGGTGCCGAACGTGCAGCCTCAGCCTCAGCTCATTGAGGACGTGGGAGAGGGGTGCCACTTCTCAGTGGGCAAGCTCAGTGAAACGTGGCACTCCTCGCCCTTGCCCTCAATAATGACGCTCTCATTACAAAATAGAATGCCGTGGGTATTGCAATGGAATGATTAGATTATGTGACAGTCACATCGGCTGATATTTGGGCAGCATGACGGTTATAGGTGAGTATCGACTCGTCGTCTGAGTAGAAGCAAGGCTTTTTTCCCAACTCTATGCCTTCCTAATCCGCTGCTGGTGAAATACTGATGAAAAATTCGTTTTACCTAGAATTTAATGGAAACAGGGTACGATGACCTTGAGCCGTTCGTAGACGGTGGTGATGGAGCTTCCTACATTACGTTCTAAAATGAAGCTAAAGTTCCTCTTCTCACCCATAAGGGAAAACTCAAAAAAGCGTGGCCTATAACGAATTATCGGATGGAATCCGCTTCTCACCCTAGTCGAAGGTAGAGCGGAACCCCTTCTCATATGAAAGAGAAAGAGGTCAATGTACAGCCACCGACATGCACCCCTTTACGGAGTGGTAACTGATCCCTACGAGATAGACAACAGCCTTTTCTAGCGTGTGCCCTTTTCTTTCTCAGGATCTCATGTAGGGCGTTACTGAAGTTCGAGCGGAACTTGTATGGGTTCAATCTTCACGTGCGGCTCTGGATGAACCTCGGCATATTGTCAAAATACCTTTATTTGTACAACTCCACACGAAGTTACAATACCTTAATGGCTAACGTTTCAGTGCAACCACCTTCGTCGGAGTCTGAAAGAATGGAATCAAATTTATGAAATTACCCTACCAAATACCTACCCACTACAGTATCTTCGGAAGCAATTTAATCATGATTCGTACATTTGGTCGGGCAATTTCATAAATTTGACTCCGTCCTTTCAGGCTCCGCCGGAGGTGGTTTCACCGAAACTTTAGCCATTTAGGTATTGTAACCTCGTGTGGAGTTGTATGGGTTCGCTGCTTCAACTGCGCACTTGGACGACTTCTACCTGTTTTGGAAAGATGCATGTACAACATGTTCTTCCAGTGTAGTTGTGGCTATCTCAATCGAATTAGCCACAACGTGTTTTGAAAACTGCAAGCACAGAACAAATGTGTGGAATAGGATCGTTTACTTTTGACTCTTGCAGAGATTTACTTCTTTATACAGAAACTGTGACGTGACACAGAAGCCGTGAAAAAGTAAATCAAATGTTTGACTGTTGATGAATGTGACAGGAAATGCAGATAGGCGTTAAAGCAAAGGGGTGAAATCGTAGTTGCTAACATTGTGAAACAAACACAACAGCTTGAATAGTGAAGCTTAGCATCAAAGCAAGGTGGATGGCTAGAGAAGACTAGTATTTTTTCTTGTAGTTAACGCGTTTTCAGAGCGATTCTCTGGCCTTAACACTCGAGTCTCAGTTCCCATCGTGATAGAAAGCTGTATGCAGCCCAGACCCTTCGTCTTAGAAGGCTTTCTGTGCGAGGCTCAACATTTTATGAGAGTTCAATCGTCGTAGGTCTCCCACCAATACCAGCCGTTACTGTATACTTCAGAAGTTCAACGCAGTTAAAAATTACAAGTCCCCAAAAGCTGCCATCGGCTTTCATTTAACGGTAACGCCTTGATAAGGCTGTACTGTTAATATGCAAGAAGTAGCGAAACCAGTCACAATGGTTTCCAGCGTTCTTATCAGCCCTTATCATTTTACTATCACGCTCTATCAACGATCAACAATGTCTCATTTAGTGACCTTGGTCGTTTGCGAAAAGAAAAACACTTTGAATTTCGTGCCAACTAGGTTGAGAATTTCGTCCTAGACAGTATGAACACGCTACATATGTTGTATACTCCTAAACTGCAAATACATAACTACCTCCAGGCATCAGTTTAGCAACGAGTATAACTCTTGCATTGATCCGTATTAAATTTTAATATAAAGTATATGTGGAAAGTGGATCATTTGACCTGCGCGAGTTTTCGGTGGCATCTCGAGTGACCGTTGCCAGTACGTCCTGCAGATCAACCAGCTGCTTTTTCATTTGTGCACATTCCGTCTCGATTTCGCGATGCTGAAATTAGATCCATCATTCATTAGAAAAAAATTCTATTGCTATGAATTGATGAGTACCAACTTCACAGAAATAGGTATCAGGTTACTGTAAAGACAGCGATAAAATCACGCCTGCCATTCGCACTAATTTGATTTGCTGCTTTGTACATAGTACAGACTGAATTTTGCCCCGAATTAAGCGATGATCAAAATACCTCAATGAGAAAATAAAATATTTCTTTTATTATAGTTGCAGTACAGAAACTAGTCTTTTGGAGAGATTCTGGTCCAATTTTGTCAAAAGTGAATGTATAGTAGACCAGAGCATATCAAAAGAAAATGGAATATTTTGAAACGAATGGAAAAGTCGACAAATAGTAGATTCAGGTTCTTTCGCTCTTTCCTCTATAGATTACATAGTTCTCACTTCTTTATGTTTAACCAGTTAGGCTCCGCAGTTGGTTTCTGCGTGCGTCATAACAAAAACGCGTCAAACCAATGAATTTTTGCTCAAGCTCCATTCTTTAAAACCTGGTTTGTAGTGAGTTAGTTTATGCGAAAAGGTCAAAGTCACTCCGTTCTCAACGGATGAGACTTCTCCCGACTCCATGACCTATTCCTAACCTTTGGCCACTTTCACCGGTGTCTGGCCTTTTTGGCGACTTCGTAGGAAGTTTTTGAAGTTTTTTCATTGTTTCTCACAATCACATATTTTTTTCATTCCACCTTCAAACAGAAATGAATTTTTGTATATAGTAAGTGAAAATAATGAATTCATGGATAGTAGGTAACAATGATGTCTCCATATATTAGGTTGTTCGGAAAGGAATGCACGCTAACTTTGTCCATTTATTTCTACCTTACTATAGAAGATGTTTGAAAACATTTTTGTCTGTTAGGAAGAGTTTTTCATTGCGCATCTTATGATATATTTTTGGCTATGTCTACTTTGTTTTTTTTTTTTTTGAAGAAAAAAGTTTAGCAGATGCTTGACCAAAAATTGTTTTTGCGGGCTTGCATGTGGTACGACTTCGAGCAAAGAAAATCGGCCGCTGAACCTCATCGTACCATCTCTGAAGTATTCGGTGATGAAGCCCTGTCAGAAAGCCAGTGTCGACGGTGGTTCCAGCGCTTCAAAAAAGGTAATAAAAGCTTGGAGGACGAAGAACATGGAAGTCGGCCTCATGTCGTCGATGACCAAGTGTTGAAGGACGCCATTAATACGGATCCGCACCAAACCACCCAAGAACTGGCAGTACGCCTTAGCTGCTCACACTACACCATCCATGAGCATTTGTTGGCTATTGGTAAAACAAACAGGTGCGGAAAATGGGTACCGCACAAGCTGAGCGTCGCCAACAAGGCAACACGAGTGGCAATGACCTTCCCCGTCGCTCCAAGAACAGTTTTTTTTCAACTCTGTTATTACTTCAGATGGAAAGTGGATCTGTTTCGACAACATAACACGAAACAGGCAGTGGTTGGCCGCCGGTGACACTCCGAAACCTACCCCGAAACCGGATATACACGACAAAAAGGTTATGCTCTGTGTTCGGTGGAATAGCAAAGGTTTAGTGTACTTGGAAGTCCTGGATTCGGGCCAAACGGTTACGGCGGATATTTACAAAGATCAATTGAGCCGCGTCGATCAAGCACTTCGTCGTCAAGGTGTCGAAACGTCGTCGACAAAATTCCTCCACGACAACGCTCGTCCACATGTCGCGAAGACCACCTTGGAAAAAATTGAGGAGTTGGGCTGGGAAGTTCTGCCTCATCCGCCATACAGCCCAGATCTCGCACCATCCGACTACCATCTATTCCAGTCGATGCAGCACTCCTCAGCCGAGAGAAAGTTTAAAAACCGCGAAGAGGTCCAACTCTGGGTGTCCAACTACTTTGACTCGCAGCCGGCCGAGTTTTTTAGAAGAGGAAGCTATTCTTTGCGTACACGTTGGCGACAAGTCATCGATTGTAATGGAGAATATCTTTTGGATGATCTTGGTTAGTTTCGTTTTTATAATAAAAAAACTTTTGAGCTCAAACGCGCATTCCTTTCCGAACAACCTAATATCATATGTTCTACTGTTTTCGCACTCTACAAGAAAAAAGACATTTATACTTTGAAAGGAGTACAAAATAGTTTCACTCGGAAACTCATGTTCGGAGTCATTGTTTGAATTATAAAGAAGTACCTAGTGGTGCTGAGCGTAACAAGATACTCGGTCTGAAATTTCTCGAATGGAGAAGGAAAAATTTGATATACTTATGGCATACAAAATTTTGAATGGCATAACTATTGTGGATGTTCCAGAGTTTTTCACAATTGTGTTTTCGAATACGAGAGGTTCCTCAACTAAGGTATCGACCATGCCAGCAAGAACACAAGTTAAGTCGCAGTTTTTTAGTAATAGTGTTATGTCAAGCTTTAACTCCCTTTTACGTCTGGATCTCATCCTCCCTAGTTGTCGAACTTTTAAGAAAACTATTAATAAGTTGATTTGATGTAGTTAAGTTTGGTTTAGAAATGGTCATTATTGTCTCCTTTCATATCACATGTTTATAATGTGTCTGTTAAAGTTAACGTGTCAAGCGGGTTTCGGTAGTGTAAGGGATAAAAGCACGGTCTCCGGAATGGACAAGTACGGTTTCGAGTCCCGTCCGAGACTGAAGTTTTGCCCATGAATCGCCAACCTTGCGAGATTTTCGCTTCGCGTACTGCGGCGTTAAAACAGCAGCTAACAAAACATCAAGTCAAAACAAGCTATATCATGTAAAGCTTTCAGCTTAACGGTTATGTGCTGATATTGGCCGACCGGCTCAACACGTTGTACGTGTGAGCGCTGATAAGCTATGGCATATAAGCCATTAAGAAGGCGAGGGCAAGCGTGGTCTCGGTAGTATAAGGGACAAGAGCACGATCCCCGGAAAGGAAAAGAGCGCGTTTGAGTCCCGTCCGAAACTGAAGTTTTGCCATAAATCGCCAACCTTGTGAGACTTTCCTTCGCGTACTGCGGCGTTAAAACAGCAGCTAACACAACATCAAGTCTTCGTGCAGAGTTGTGAATCTTATATACATATCATTTCTTTTATAACCTCTAATCACTTCCACTCGATAGTAAAACTTTTCAAAAGGAGTAGTGAATTTTTGATGAAAGGTCCCCCCTCCCTTAGTGCGAGCCCGCCCTAACCGGACATTTGACTGCATCACGTCCCTAGTCCGTAATTGCTCTTTTCCCACATTTAGAAAGTTTCAGACGGAGTTATAGGTCTTTGATCTTGACTCAACATAATTCAGAGCCGCCCACTTTGAGGATTTGGCCACATTTCTTCTACAACCTATGATCACTTTTATCTCACAATCCATAGCATATTTGAACGGAGTTATGCTTATTCATAAAAGTAGCTTCTATTTCAACGCACGCTCCGTCCACCGTGAAGCCAGCACACTCAATGCCTTGCACACTCAGTTTTTTTTTCTGGCCTCCACGCCTCCGTTGAATCGAGTAATAAATCTATGTGGAATGTACCGCCACTGCAGGAACGTTCCGCCCATTGAGCTCCGCCCAGTGAGCCTCCTTCAAATCGTTTTTTAACCCATCCCAAACCTCTGCTCATTTTTTCTCGGCATTTGGACTGTTAGAGACCAAATCAGGTCTCTTCTACTGGCCTCTCCCAATAAAATATCTTAAGTGGGTTAATGACGAGTCTAGGTCTTGATGACGGATTAGCGGACTAAATTCACAGGTGCATGCCTAGAGAAACGGTTGGATTCAAAATTCGTGCATGCATGTGGGGACAGTGGGTGTGTTAGGTTTGAAACCTGCACATTGGCTCAGTCAAAACTTATTCGAACGACTGGGAAGTAACTGGAGCGCGATTCGAGGCAGGCTGCTTCGATTCAACCCTTTGTCGACAGTGCGCATTTCATTTCAATGTGGTGCGCCCATAGGAAGAGGCTTCCCTTCCATTCGGGCGCCACCGGTGGGTGCCACTATCCCATAAAAAAGTCTTCACTGGCTTATATTTTGGCCATATTTTCCGTATAACAGAAGTAACTAGATGTCATATATTAAATATAGTTAAGGCTTAGAAATGGAGAATGCCTTCTAGTTAAAGGCCTCGTTTCTGTTGAATCTGAACATAAACGAACTCTCTGCGTGGGGAGCGTTTGAAGAGATCGAGAGGGTGGTGAAGAAAACGAAGAATATCCGATTTCACGCTCGCATTTTCGACACTGCGGTCCTCGACATTTCGACATATGCTTTACCCAAAAAAACAAAGATCAAGTGGGCCGGAGACGTCATGCAATTTTGTGATGACTATTCGGCCGGGACATTTATTGGCTGAATTTTTTGGAATGTCAAAAGAACGGTAAGACGGCCGCCATCGCGATGTCCACACTTCCTGATTGAAGGAGTGCCACGTGCCGAGTCAATTGAGCGATAAAGTGATTGATGAACCATCGAGAACACATATATCATCTTCGTGTGAAGCTTGTTACACTCACGCGATTAAGCGCGTTCTACACATAATCACCGTCAAGTGTGTATATTTCATTGTTATTCGGCCAAAGGGTTCTGCTCATAGCAGCCGCATATGGTGGGGAAGCATTGCCTGGGATTGGATCTGCGGATCATGCTAGTAATAGACCACTACGTATGCTACCGCATTCTAAAATTGAGGTGTCAATCGAATGCGTTTTTGTTTATAATGACTTTCGAGGGGATGGAAGTCTAGCTCCTGCCCCATTTCTCCACTAGGCTCTGGTTACAAATGGCAATCTCCGGGATAGCGAAAGACAAGGACGGAGGCGTGACTAGGGCGCTGGGTATTATTTTTCCCGTCATTATTGAGAGACTAGTGATTGCTAAAAGGAAAGTCAAGTGGTCTCCCAAATTTTTGTCTTCTCTGTAGGCTTGGACCCTTTCCCTCTTCACCATTGCCATATACGCAACATGGGTATGCAGTGCAGTTCATCTGTGGCAAAGTTGGTAGTTATGCGGACCTACAAGAAAAGCATCGAAGTTCGTATCCTTGATGCATATGCTTGTTCTGCTATTCCACGAACATGACTCCAGCTCTCTGGGGGCGGAGTCCGGCCCCGCCACCCACCATTAGCGTTCACATCCAGCCGCCTGTACTCCTACCAAATTTGAACTCTCTAGATCGACGGGAACCGGAGTTATGAATTTCCGGTCAAACTCCCACACACACCTCCGACAGACAAACCAACAGACACACTTAGCCCGTTATATATAGTAGGATAGGATAGATATAGGAATATCTCCACATGGCAGTGATTCGGCACATAAAATCAACAAGTAATGCCGAGTATGTATTGGGTTCTTCGAAAAGTTTCCGCCGATTTTTGACACCCCGGATTTATCAACCGTTGTACAAAAGATCAAGGATCCAACCTAATAAAGTTATACGTTTCGAAAGAATAGGTCCTCCTTTATATTTCTGCTGAAATTCTGTCAACATGTGTCGAAGTTTGTCTGCACAGGATTCGTATGAAAATGGAGAACCTGCGCGCATTTTCGACATCTGTAGTATTTCTTCTACCGCAAGGCCTAGAATGCGGCACAAGCCGCATGAAAGATATATGACGTTTGAGTAGACCATGCCCTAGAAGAACGAACAGTGCATGACTATTTGCGGAATCCAAACAGAGTGAATTTGCCTCCGAAGACCGGCAACCCTCAGGGAGACTATCATCAGTTTAAACGACCAACTC